CGGTACAGGATGGAAATTCCTCACGCATTTTGTCACAATGTGCAACATGTCACCTGTGATTTAAATGTATCCTTAATTTGACACTGGCAAGCCTAAATACATCTAAGCATGCTGACATGATAATGTGCAAACGAATATTTTGGGATCAGCAGGAACGTGGGATCAACAGATGCATAATGGTGTCTTAAAATACAGTCGACTGCAGTTGTCTTCCAACTCCTCACAATTTCTAATTCCACGATACGTAACCTCTGCAGTAGAAAGAACACAAAAAAATAAAATGTAAGCAAGAAGTTCGTATAGCCTCAGACTGGAAGACCGGGATGAGATTCCCGGCATGTGCAAGATGTCTCTCTTCTTCACAGCCCACCCAGCCTCCTATAAAATTGGTACCGGGGTAAAGCGGCTGAGGCGTGAAGCTGACCACTCACCTCCAACTAGTGCCAAGGTCAAGAAAACGTGGGTGTATACATCAACTCAACCATACGTCTTCGTGGGGTAGCGCTTAATTAGTTTAAGCGCAGGGACAAGGTTACCTTTTTACTTCTGCTTCCGTACACTATATTTCCTATTTTGAATTGTTTCATTTTTGGTCCGTTACACTATCAATCACAGAGTTAGTAGAGAGTCCGTCGAGTATAACAATTTGTAGGTCACTTTTCTAATATCACTTCTGCCTTACATGTTTCGGTTTGATACAACCATCATCAGAGGCACTTGCTATAACTATGGAAACACTGTCGTTGTTTATGATGTTCACAATTATGTTTGTCGTGTAGACGCTGCTACAATATGCTGACGTGTAAAAGCACAAAACTTACTAAGATAGTTGAGTACACTATCAAGTTCTCACTTTTCATCCGAAACTGTTTTAAGTTAAAACGCTAAATGTTAAAATATTTAATCTAAAATGCTGAATTCCTCCTTGTTAGATCATCCCGAAGATGGGAGACGTCAGCTTGAAGTTATATATATAATTATATTATATATATATTATATATATATATAATAAGTTATATAATTCTTGGTCCAGAAGAGACGCTACCTAGTTTCCGAGTGGTGAAGACGTGTTCATGCACGTTCCGTTTTCACCAAAGGGGGACAAAGAATTATATATAGTTACGTATTTAAGTGTAACAACAATGTAGTTACAGCTCAATAAATAAAGCGTGTGTGAGTGTTATGAAGTTGCTGCGGTTTTGTTGACCGTCTTTCTTGAAGTCAAGGCCCACTTGACGGCCCTGGTGATACTCTCATGTTCCCCGACTGGGGTGGCGCCCGAAACGACTACCAAGGTGAGGCAACAGCACCAACAACCTTCACAGAATCGCTAGCAGGCGATTCACCAGTGAGCAGCTGCGTCCACCTTTATTCTACGCAGAAGGCAGCTGCGGCCAACTTTACCTTTCACTGGCCTACATCAACACCCTGCGTAAAGAGAAGAACTGCGACAACCAATTGCTCCACAGTCACCCTCACCTATCATCTGGGGCTGGTACAATAGGCCAGAAGTGACCGCAGTACAAGGGACTTAGTCCCACCCCACTAGCAATAGAATAAAATATTCTAATTTTCCTTATAACAGCTCTCTTTGAATGATCGGTTCTGTCAAAACAGAAACATTTCTCACTCTCATGCCATAATTTTGTCCCACTGACTGACTGAATGAACAGCTGCCTGACTGCTTCTTCAGCAGTTCATAGCCAGCTGACCGCAAAACTGCCTCCCTGCCTGAGGCCACTCAAGCAGTGGGATGTTGATTTATAATCTCATTGGTGGCATATTAGCATGTGCTTGCGTCTTTCTATGTCGTCCTTACGATGGACTAAGTCTTCGTCCTTTACAAGAGCAGTCCCACCGAGGCCCATGCTCGAATCAGACTGCAGCGCCGAACAATACGACAAAGAAGAAAGAATACGCAAGTCACATTTTTTAATTACGTGAAAATTAAATTAATTCATGTTTTCCTGCACTACTGACGCTAAGTAGTGCATTGACCCTCTGCAACCGCATCCTACTTTAAGTAGCATCAACCTTTCGGGTGTAGCAAAAACAACGCCTTTAAAGGAATCTGCAGCTTTCTTAAGTTTTTTATGCACACGTCCAGGAAGCTCCGAGAACCCTTTTGATGACTATCATTTCGCCGCAGAAAGTTTGGGGTGAGTTGTAACGTCTCGAAAGGGTTGTGTTGTTCTACACGAATTCCGTCCAAATAAAGAACTGTGTCCCTCCCCACGACAAGCTCAATCAGCCCATTTTTCGGGAGAGATCATTAACCACCAGATTCTTTAGAATTTACAAGAACAGAATGCTCTCGGAGGATATGTACGCATGACAGAAGAATATTTGGAAAGTTATGCAGTTCAGTAGCCTCGTTGTTTGCCCAGTTGTCTAATAATTCTTACCCCCATGTAAGTATGTACAAAGAAACCTACTCACTCCGCAGAGTACAGGCATATCTCGTTTTGCTGCGCTTTGCTTCATTGCGTCTTTTTTACAAATTGAAAGTCAGCGAGTAATTTCGACTTTCAAGCCTTATTATTTAAGAAATTCATTTCGTAAGGCTATAACTTCCTCTGATGAATCTGGGAAAGCAAGTTTAAGATCTCCTGGAAGGATTCACCATCCTAAATGCCATTAAGAACATTCGTGATTCTTGGGAAGAGGTCAAAATATCAACATTTACTGGAGTTTGGAAGAAGTTGATTCCAACCCCCCACAGATGACTTTGAGGGGTTCAAGACTTCAGTGGAGGAAGTAACTGCACACGTGGTGGAAACAGCAACAGAACTAGAACTAGAAGTGGAGCCTGAAGATGTCACTAAATTGCTGCAAACTCATGATTAAACTTTAACGGATGAGAGTTGTTTCTTATGGATGAGCAAAGAAAATGTTTCTTCAGATGGAATCTACTCTAGGCGGAGATGCTCTGAACACTGTTGAAATTACAACAAACAGTTTACAATAATATATAAACTTAGTTTATAAAGCAGCGGCATGTTTTGAGAGATCTGACTCCAGTTCTGAAAGAAGTTCTCTTATGGCTAAAATGCTATCAAACAACATCGCATGCTACAGAGATATATTTCATGATATGAATTGGCACGGCCATCCTAAATTTGAGCAAACACCTCCCTGATATTTCAGCAGTCATCAACATCGAGCCAAGATCCTCCATCAGCAAAAAGATTACGACTCTCTGAAAGCTCAGATGATGGTTAGTATTTTTCAGCAATAAAGTATTTTTAATCAAGGTACGTACATTGTTTTACATACACAATTCTATTGCACACTTAATAGACTACAGTATAGAGTAAATATAACTTTTATATGCACTGGGAAACCAAGAAGTTCGTGTGACTCGCACGGAGCCTGCAGTACTTCCGAGGTACGCCTGTAGAAAGTCGCAGTGACCGCGCGGTCTAGGGCATGAAATGTCTTCCCTCGCTCGAACACTGGAATCTTGGGTTCGAATCACACTCAAGGCATGGATGTTTGCTGCATTTGCTCTGTGTATGTGTAGTTAGCGTCTTTGAAAAGGGCTGATCACTCGCCCAATGAATCCTAGCGACTGTCTAAGATTAAGAAACTGAAGTAAAACGAAGTGTTTCACAAATGCCCTATGCTCCAAGTGGGAGCAACAGGAATATAGATAGATAGATAGTATTAGCCTATCTATGTATCTGTCTATGGCTCTACAGTCCTTTGCTGGACCTTGGCCGTTTATTCAGTTTCTTACTTCTATACAGAGTCGGCAGGACTCCTTGTACGGGGGATTAGAACGTCGAAAGGCCGCTACCTGCACACAGAATACAAACAAAGAATAAACGTACACAGACATCCATGCCCTGTGTTGGATTCGAATCCACGATCCCAGCGATCAAGCGAGTGAAGACAGTTCATGCTTTTCACTGCGCGGCCACTTTGATCGATGTATTAGCCCACTTTCCTTAATAATGTAAAATTTTCCGTGTGCTTAAATAGTGAATCACCACGCCATGAAGACGTGTGGGAGATTGCAAGTGTAGCTCCAACTTTCTCATCCTCGGCACTAGGCAGAGGAGTGGTCAGCTTCATGCCCCTGACACTACCCTCGGGGAAACAGCCCTTGGTATCCACTGGATATGGTGTTGTGTGGACACCAGCCAATTTGAAAAATAAAAGGGAGCTTATGAGATCACCTTACTGCCTGTGTGTATTTTGGTTCTATGTATCACCCTTGACAACTTCGAATGCCTTATGAATCCCGGTATGCGTGCCATGACACCTGAGCCCATCTTAACGGCGTAATCATAAATAGCTCCCATCAGTAATGCCAACATTACAGCATCTCAAACTATTGAGAGGCCTTGAGGAAGGAGCAAAATGATATGACTCCTGAAGGCCGGGATACTATTTATTTATTTAACGATGATTTTAATAAATGAGATTATATGGCGCAGCTGTATAGTGAGCGTGGCAGGAAGCTGTCACGGCCTAATTTCAGATATTATCTTGAAATTTGCCTGGAGAGACTAAAGAAAATTACGAAAAAACTCAGTCGGAAATTTGAACTCTGAATCTTCAGAATACGAAGCTAACGTTCGGGTCTGTAGGCGTGCAGGATATGCAGCAGCATTTGCTGGGACGGCAGGAGGCTACTTGAGGATGCTGTACAGTATCAGCACGTGATGGACCCCAGGTGGGATTCCGTAATGATGGCGATATGCGCACAATCTGGGTCTGTATGCCGATCGGCTTGGCTTGGCGGAAGCGCTCTAGACTTGTATTCGGGAGAAGCTCGGTTCGAATCTCGGCCGGAACACCGGCTGTCGTGAGATTTTTCGTTGTTTTCTTCAATCGCTCGAGGCGAATTCCGGGAGAGTACATTGATTAGGCCAGCAGGGTCACTTCTTGCTACAAATTCTTTCCTTCTTACCATTCGACGCTCTCTGGTGCGGGACGCTCACAGCGCCGTAATATAAATCTCAGACATCTGTACGTTTGGACACTTCAGCCTATTAACGCACGTCACGTGATGTATGGCGCGGAGTGGTGTAGTGTAATATTGTGTGGTGTGATGTGATGTGGTGTGGCGCTATGTGGTGTAGTGTAATATGGTGTGGTGTGGTGTAATATGGTGTGGTGTGATGTGTAGTGTGGTATGGTGTGATGTGATGTGGTGTGGTACTACGTGGTGTGGTGTGATGTGATGTGGCACTATGTGGTGTGGTGTGATGTGTTATGGCGCGGAGTGGTGTAGTGTAATATTGTGTGGTGTGATGTGGTGTGGCGCTATGTGGTGTGGTGTAATATGGTGTGGTGTGATGTGTAGTGTGGTATGGTCTGATGTGATGTGGTGTGGCACTACGTGGTGTGGTGTGATGTGATGTGGTGTGGCGCGGAGTGGTGTAGTGTAATATTGTGTGGTGTGATGTGGTGTGATGTGGTGTGGTGTGATGTGGTGTGGCGCGGAGTGGTGTAGTGTAATATGGTGTGGTGTAGTGTGGTATGGTCTGATGTGAGGTGGTGTGGCGCTATGTGATGTGATGTGTTGTGGTATGGTGTGGTGTGATGTGATGTGGTGGGGTGTGGTGTGATGTGGTTTGATGGGAGAAGGTGCCACAGTGGCACAGTTAACTAAATAATTTTATTCGCAACCATTCGTGCTGGGCCAATATTGATGTTTCGTTGCAGTCGTACCGACAATTGTAGCTACACTGCAGACAATTCCCTCCTTCTCTCTCTCTCTCTCTCTCTCTCTCCAGCCTACTGCGAAGCCTGGTCCTATAAACACAAATCTATAATCCAGAATATTCCGTTGATACACAATACACTGGAAAATATCATACAGCAACAAATGTTAACTTTTTACACGCATAATTCTCAATTCTGAAACTGGATGAATACCTCTAGCTTGTAGCTATAGACACGTAACATGTAATATTATTAATAAATTAATATGTAATATTATATTAATATGAAAATATGAACTTATATATCAACGAGCAACTAAGCGTGTAGTATTTGTTAATCAAAACTCTGTTAACATGCGTAAGGAACCAGGAGATACACGTGTATTTTCTCAACGAAATGAGAAGAGGGATAGTGTACTCCAGGGACAAGAAGAGCCATGTGGGCATAACCAGGAAGTGAACAATTGTAAAAAGAAAGACAAAAGACAAATTAATGAACTAAATTAAAAGAAGTTTCAATTGTATATTTAGGCCTATTAATATGCGTGATATTGTGTGAGAAAAGAAGGCGTCATAGTGACATCCCCAAAACATTGTCATTCTCTGACTGGTAGATATTCAAGGGGAAGCTATTCATGTTGGATCCGGTACTGATGCCTCATGGTACCTGTACTGAAATTTGCTACCTGGTGTTGCAAACCAGAAGACATCAATCATAAAATCTACCACCATGGAGACCTCAAAACTTACTTATATTTGCACATTATGCAGAATTGCGTTATGCCACCGGCAGAAAAAGCATATTCAGGAAGAAGCATAAAGCCGCCATGGACACTGTACAGGCTCTCGAAGGTACAAAAGAGAGCTTACAACATACCGAAGGAAGGCCACTGGTTTCGGATTGAGTGCAGGAAGTGCAACCGACACGAAACAATGTGCATTTTGTGTGTTCTGTGATGAACCCATTAATTAGTGTAAATCTTCTGAAGCAGTGGTCTTGAAACTGGCAGTTTCTTATAACTGTCTATTGTGACATGACTCCTGAACGCCGGAAGTGTGCAGTCAGAGAAGCACTGCGGAGACGTCCATTGCTAGACAATGGCTCGCTAAACAAGTTCCCGAGGCAATAAATAAGCACATAATACTAGAGGAACTGTTGGAGGCGGTGATCTCTATTCGGCTCTTCTCAAAGTTATATAGGGAGGACACGTGAGAACGAGGAGTCAGGTCAGTTCATTAGTTCAGTTCAGAAGTGCTAATAGAATTGAGACAAGAGATCGAGAATGTAACCAGTCTGCGGCAGTAGATTGCTTGTGAACTGCTGTAACGGACTGTAATTAGAATGATTGTAAAAGAAAGCGTCAATATATCCAATCATGCAATCCACAACCCGTTATTATTAGTCACGGATCCCCGGAGAGGTGACAGTATGTTACGGCGTAATTGAAACCACCGCGGAATTAAGCTAAAAGCATTGCGAAATAGACAAACTACTATTGAATTAGCTATTCTGCACAATGAATGCTATGGTTCATGTACACACTACGCATCTGAGTTCAATGTTCGGTTTCTTCGATTTGTTGGGTGGGGCATTGTCGTGGAGGAGCGACCAGGAACCATGCTCTCGATATTCAGGTCGAATTCGAAGAATTTTCGCCTACGGACGATTGAGGACTCTGAGATAATAATAATCAGAATTCACCGTTTGACCTTCTGGAAGAAATTCCTTGTGAATTATTCCTTTGGAATCGAAGAAAACGATTAGCAGTGTCTTTACTCGGCTCTTTTGCATGCGCACTTTCTTTGGTTTCGGCTTCTTTGGGCTCAACCACGCCGCACTCTGCCGCTTTGTGAGAGGCTCATATTGAAAACACCATGTCTCGTCACCAGTAACAATCGATTTTGTAAATTTTCTATCACTTTGGGCGGAGCGTAACACGTCTTTGCAGTGTTCCACTCTTGGGTTTTTCATCGCCTGACAGCGCGTGCGGTACAAACCGCGTACAGACCTTCCGTTTTCCCAAATACTCGGTCAAAATTTGATGCACAGTAGTTTTTGGTATTCCCAAAAGCTCCTCGATGAGTTTTGCAGAAACACATCTGTCTGATGCAAGGATTTCGGTCACTTTTTTCACATTTTCTTCAGTGCGACTTGTTCTCGGCTTTGATGTACGTGGAACGTCTTCAATACCCTCTCTGCCGTCACGAAATACAGCATACCATCGAAGAATGTTCAAGCGACTCAAACAATCACTACCGTACACACTTCCATCATTTCGTACGCTTCTCCGGTTGTTTTGCCTAATTTCAGAAAAAATTTGATGTTGGCTCTCTGTTCAACCGCCATTTTCCGACGAGCGTCAGAACAGTACTGTTATATTCAAGGTCAGAACACATGATGCAGCGATGCTTGCACTTTGAAATTATAGACAGCCACAGCTGAAACTTCAAGAATCTTAACGCCACAACGCGCCAACAGATGGCATTGCAGGGAAAAATAAAAAAAAAAAAAAGAGTCCTAACGGATCCTGGACACACCATGGACTGTATATACCACTTAATCTGCAATCTGAAATAATTACGTTATTTAAGAGACTTTTGAAGTTTTAGTCATGAATGAAACTTCGTATTCTTACATTATGGTTGACAAAAGTTGCAGGAGCACTAGGAAAAACACAGAAACGAGAGAACAGGTTGTTTTGACTCAAAACCCAATGCACGAAGTTGTGGCATGACGTAAATACGTTGTTTCTGGCTTTGGAGTGAGCATATCAGAACTGAGCAAAAAAAAATATATTTTGCTTTTGTGTTACTATGCTCGTTAACTAACGTAATTGATAACATTAACTTATTTGAAATATGGGACTTTCTAGTGTGGCTTGCCGCCCAGCGAGGAGTGGTTGCTCCACCCCTACGTCATGAGGGGGCGGGCGAAGAATAACTGCATTATTCAAAGAACCCTTACAACAATCAACCCTTGACGAAACAGCTGGTGCCCGTGGAGGAAACAATGACGGACCCGCTACTTTGATCTTATTATTTTTACGGAGCCGTGAGGTAGCCTGTCCTTCAGGGGGCAAGGCAGAATGGAAAAGTGTATTACAGTTTCGAGTATGAATGTATTCCAGGTGCGTTCCTTACAGTTTTATATGTTATCACATTCAAATTTGTTATTACAGAAACCCATTGCTTCGAATGTAATCAACTACAAATACCACGCTCTAAAGAGTAAGAAATTGTCATTATTTTTATACGTTTGTTAAATATCATTCAAAGATTTGTAGACGTCAGATTCATTACAAAATTTCGGGTAGCCACAGCACAGAATGGCGCTTCATAGACTTAGCTTGTCTGTGTTTTGTTCCAGTTTATTGTGTGTATTGAGTGAATATTTATAATATTTCGATGCTGATGTGTGAAGTGTAGTATGCTATATAAAGGAAAAGGTTTCCGAGTTGCTACTTGTGTGTGATATTTTTGAAACAACTGCATTCAATTTTGGCCTCAGAACATCAATCGATAACGTACAGGATCGTAATGGAATACGAGGAAAACAAGGAAGTTAATACGAGTTACAATATAACAAATGATTTGACTTCCAGTTGAATTTTCAACAGATGCTGCACCAGTTCACCGTATCGGAATGGCTTCGTAAAATGAGCACTAAAACACATTAGAAATTTATTTATTACTTACTGAATTTATAATAAATTTCGAAATGAGATTCATGCACTATATTCAATGCACAACCCACAATAATGGGATACTCTGATATAAATCGACTGCAGATTTAAATCTGAACATTCCCGTTTATGCTGTGGTATGCCGCCTAAAAGCCAGAATAGCTGAGCCAGAGCGCGCGGCCATTTTTAGGCAACGGCCCGGTATCCACGGTTCCGTAGAGTTGTCGGGGTGACAATGAAAGAGATTCACGCGGCAGACAGACGTTACAACGAAACTGAAAGCCAGGACTAGTGCAGTTTCCGCGGTAAAGAATGCAGTTAGCTACCGGTGCATAAAACACGTGACACGGGACCTTAACGAGGTGTCTGCTAGGCCGTCTGACTGTCGGTTATAGCAGACCAAGAGAGCTCAGAATTGAGGACAGACCACAACAGAGGCGAACGGATCTGAGAGCAGAAGAAGCCAGCTCAGCTAGGAACCAGAAGACGACAGACCAGTCAGGTTGCGTCGTCAGAGAGACGCTATTTCAGAGAGATTGCAATTGCAAGTTTAAACAACTTATCCAATAAACAGCTTCGCCTAATCCTGAACCCATTAATTTCTTATCGCGTTACCTAGTTACGTGACAATAAGAGGGAATATATTAGGTTAATAGAATTTTGGACCACTCTGCATTTTATGTAATGTGTGGCCATATGTTTTTATACAATGGACCTTTTTTTAGGAGCATTGATAAATTTCGATTGAAGTTTCATAAAAAGCAGATCTAATTGGACAGACATGAACTGAAATTAATTCTGTTATGGCTCAGTAAATTTAAATTGGTGTGACATATAACGCGCGTAGAAGAAATTAAAATTTGTACAAAATTAAGTTCTGAAGACATGAAGCGAGTCTCAGGAGCAGATGCGGTGGAAGGCAGGAATATGCATATCAGGAGAATAGTGTCACGAATTGTGAGATGTACAATATGCCCCAAAAGATCCAGTACTGAAATGAAAAGACGAACAGTATTACCTTGTTGTCATCTGTGAGTTTATTTCTCCTGAAAGAAACTAACATATACACTGTTAGCGTGTTGATTTACCACGGCGTGTGTAATGCAAGTTTTCGAAGTGTGCACCGCTTCACTGTAGACAATGCTCATATCGTTCACGCAGATTCTCAGTCATATCCGGGAACAAAGGTTGCTGCAGACTCCTGCAAAAGGAGACGATTTTCTCGCGTAATGCAGGCACAGTTCTTGGCGGATCTTCACAGTTGAACACACTCTCCTTTAACATTCCCCTCAAGTAGGCATCAGGTGGTGTAAGATCGGGGATACAGTTCTTGGCGGATCTTCACAGTTGAACACAGTCTCCTTTAACATTCCCCACAAGTATGCATCAAGTGGTGTAAGATCGGGGGAACAGTTCTTGGCGGATCTTCACAGTTGAACACACTCTCCTTTAACATCCCCACAAGTAGGCATCGGGGGGAATGGGACGGGTATGGGAAGTCAGTACCACGTGAAATGATTTGTCCTGGAAAGTTTTCCTGCAGCATGGCTAGATTCTCGAGCGGTATGGCTGGTTGCCCCGTCCTGTTGATACCACTGTCTATTCATGTGAAGGCTCCTTGCACGACAGAACCTTCTCAAATCCTGAAGAAATGGTCCTATCACCATGTCCCTGTAGCGTTCTTGGGTGACGGTAAGAGCACTGCCTTCCTCATCCTCAATGAAATAGGGGCCTAATATACCGTGTGCTGAGACGGCACACCATAACGTCACACGTGTACTGTGTAGCGGTTTCTGGACGATAACATCTTGCCGCTCAAAACCAAGGAAGCGTGTTGTCTGGCGATTGTTGTAGCCGTCCAAGTGAATGTGACTTTCGTCGAAGAACCACACATTCCTCAAGAAATCTGGATCCTCGTACAGCATGGCCAAAAATGTTCCACAATACACCACCCTGGCTCGCGTATCTGAGGCTTAAGCTTGGCAGCGGTCAAGCATAAGACCGTCCAAGTGACTATACTGCTGTTGTAGCATGAGCTACTAATGGTAGGGCGTGATCTGCTGTACTGAGCGTGGACTGACAGAGGCCTTATACAGAATGTCCCAGGAGGAATGTGCCAAACTTCGGGAGGGTGTTCCTTACGTTAAAGTATGCCGATATAACCCAAAACACCTATGTCCAAAGTTGAACGGTTACGGAGCTAATGGCCAGAAAAGTGTGAATTTTGACCGGTGTTACACACTTGTTGATTAGAAAATACATATTAAAACTGGCAGGAATATGTGGTTTCTGTAATGTTAATAATGTACGAAACATCAAACTAACTTGTTAGTGACATGAAGCCATTAAATTGAACTACAAAATACTCGCACACCAATGTCAAAGTTGTCGTTAAGAGTTCCAAGCACTATACATGACACATGAACGGCAAGCGCTGACGTAACATTGCTGAGTACGCGTTCTCGTATGCGAGTGTATGGGGCTAACGTGAGCTGCCATCACCACACTCAAGGACAAACGTAGATAACACATGCCAGCTGACAGGTACAGTGCGTGGACTCGCCAGAAGACCACACATTTCTCGGGCCATTATCTCCGTAACCGTTCAACTTTGGACATAGGTGTTTTGGGTTATATCGGCATACTATAACATAAGGAACACCATCCCGAAGTTTGGCACATTCCTCCTGGGACACTCTGTATATATTGTATATTGTATAGCATGTAAAATAGAAACTGTACATACTGACAACAGACTTATTACTGCTGACTGTGAGTCTGGCAAAGGACAGACCAGTCCTCTCGTCATGAAGAGCGCCGCTGGAAAATTTCACCAGAGCAAGTCTGATGGCAGTTACGCTGAAAAAATTCTTTACGTTCATTTGATTTTTTAATTACTAATTTAATTAATTGTGCTGTTATATATGAAACTACATTTGTATAATCAATTTATTTACTCTGTCCTGACTGACAATTTGAGGTGAATCTCTTGATATAGTATATATTTGGGATTTGCCAACTCGTTTCGAAAATCGCCCGGAAAGTCACTTCTCCTCGCTTGGGATCCATTCTTGTCTCAACATCTCCAAGCAATACTTTCAAAAATATCAAGACTGCCTCATTCCAGAATGATACGTACTTCACTGTCATGATCATTTTACCATGTAACCCCACGCTGTGCAACCTACCAGCAGGTGGACAGCTAATGTAATTACGTTAGTAAACAGTCGCGTGGATAAGAAAACAAAGAACTTTCAAAAGTTATTCTGATATGCTGAATCCAATTTGGGACTGAAAAATTTTCATCGCTTTACGGTTCTGCATACTGAATTTAGGGCCAAAACGGTGATTCCTCCACTTTGTGTCTTCTTCTTAGATTTCTTTTATTCTTTTGCTATAATACTTGAAAATATAACGTTTTATTAAAAGGTAAAGTTAAATTTGTCCTTATGTTTAAATAATTAAGCAGTTCGCCGTTAAGGAGTATAGGGAAGCGAATGTATAATCCACATTTTCTTGAATTCGGCAATAACTGGAGATGAGTGGTCAGCTTCACGCCCCGGCCGCTTCATCCCCGGAGAAAGAGCCCCCGGTGCCCATTGGATTGGAAATTTGGTGGACACCAGAGCCGGTCTGGACGGTTGGGGAAATGAAAATGCTTAACCCTAACGGGACTCGAACTCCGAACCTTCGGTCGTCCAGCCCGTAGTCAGTCGCTATACTGACTGCGCTATCCCGGCTCCTCACGTCCAGCCCGTAGCAAGTCGCTATACCGACTGCGCTATCCCGGCTCCTCACGTCCAGCCCGTAGCAAGTCGCTGTACTGACTGCGCTATCCCGGCTCCTCACGTCCAGCCGGTAGCCAGTCGCTATACCGACTGCGCTATCCCGGCTCCTCACGTCCAGCCCGTAGC